GCTGTCAGAACTGTCAAGCACTGTAGAGCTGTGAACTGACAGGCTGAGCGGCGGGTCTTGTTTTAGACTTGTTAGTGAGCGCACACACATATATACATGTGTGTACGTACATATATATATATGTATATACATACATATATATATATATACATATATATACGTGTATACATATAGATACATATATACATAGATATACATATAGATATATATATACATATATACATATATATACATATATACAGATAGAGACAGACATACATATATACATGTATAGACGTATATACATATACACATATATATACATATGCACATATATATACAGATATATACAGATATACAGATATATACATATATATACATATAGGCATATATAGACATATATACATATATACATATATATACATACAGGTACATATATACATACATATATATATACATATATACATACATATATACATACATATATACATACATATATATATACATATATACATACATATATACATACATATATACATACATATATACATACATATATACATACATATATACATATATATACATATATACATATATATACATATATATACACATACATATATACATATATATACATATATACATATATACATACATATATATATACATATATATATATATATATATATATATATATACGTACATACATACACATATATACATATAAATATATATAGGTAGAGCTCAGAAAGACTCATTTCGAAATGGAAGAAGGAAGACGGGTTGGTGGAGGGTGGAACCCGATCTGCAAACATCCATAGCGTCTGTAATGCAACTTCTCCATCATACAAACACATGTCCCTTTTTGTGTGGTGACCCGTTATTTATTTATTTTGTGAATTATCTTTTAGATGATTTATAATTCTTTTGATATCAACGATTTAATTTCACATTATTGGTTATTATTACAGTTTTTTTCGATTGCTAAACGGCAGTGGGCACAACTGGAGTCACATGTGCAAAACTCTAACTACAGTCTGCACTACCAACAGTCACCTGAGCTAAACAGTTCACATCACCTGCAAAACTCACTCCAAGCAACATAACTCTTAACACATGGCTCAAAACAGGCTCAGTGCAGCCAAACACTATGCACAACCCTCACTGAGATAACACACACTGTCACTCAGAACACACTGAGAGTAAAAACACTAGCATCAAACACCAATACAGAAAATACTAAATTTTCATCTTTACAGTTTGAACAATTTCAGTGACTTCATAGAAAGTAATATTTTCTTCAATGAAAAGATTGACATTCTTTCACATGATTTATTTTATTTACATTTTTAGAACATAACAATTCTTTAAGGTAAATGAAAATTAGCAGTTTGCTTCAATAGTCTGTACTGTAATTTACAGAATTACAGTAATGAGAAAAAAAAGGTAGAAACTAAAAGTACATACTTTAATTCTAACAAATAATTGAGGGGCTAATCCTGCCTCTCTCTAGCATCAGGCCACAGGTTTTCGTCAACATCACATCTAATGTTCTCTCTTGCCATGCACCTGGGGAAGAACCTTCTGGAGTGCCTTATCCATCCCTGGCAGTCCTCTGGACTTGTGGCCTCACATCCGGCACGCATGGCTTCCAAAAGAGACATTTGGTCATGTGGGTGGTGATCAAACACTTTCCACCTCCAGGCAGAGAAAAACTCCTCTATTGGGTTGAGGAAGGGTGAATATGCAGGCAGGTACAAAACTATAAATCTGCAATGTGCTGCAAACCAATCTGTGACAGCTGCAGAGTGGTGAAAAGCAACGTTATCGCAAACTATGACAAAAACTTGGGGGTTTCTTACTGGCTCCCCCTGTTCTGCTGGCACTAGCTGAGCATAGAGCTGTTCTAGGAAAGCTATAAGCCTTTCTGTGTTGTATGAGCCAATGAGTGGTGTGTTGAGAAGCAAACCATCATTGGCCATTGCAGCACACATGGTTATATTTCCCCCCCTTTGGCCTGGAACCTCCACAGTGGCCCTTTGACCTATAACATTCCTTCCTCTGCGCCGTGTTTTGGCAAGGTTAAATCCAGCTTCATCGATAAATACAAATGAATGTGGTGTTTCCAGTGCTTCCACCTCCATTACTCTCTGAAAAACAGTAAGTGCACAGTTTACGTAACTGTAGTAATGCTAGTGGTTTTTTTACTGTAAATATTTTTACAGTAATAGCTGTGTATGTAACCTCAGACGTCTTACCTGGACATATTGGTATCTTTGCTCTTTTACCCGTTCACTGTTCCTCTCGAACGGTACAGTGTATAACTGTTTCATTGTAACTTGGTGTTTCTGTAGGACTCGAGCAATAGTTGTTGTGCTGACAGAATTAACATTTTCAAATATATCATTATCAGCCAGCACTCTATCTTGAATCTCCCGCAGTTTTATTGCATTGTTGACAACAACCATGTCAACAATAGCATTTTCCTGCGCATCTGAAAATATTTTTGCTCTTCCTCCTGTTGGGGGCAGCCTTTGGGTCCTGTTGTAAAAATATATTTTACAGTCAAACTTACTGTAATATATATTTGTGTAAATATTCCATAATTGCAATACAAAATAAATTCCTGTAATGTTTTCATTTACTATAAGGATGTAACTCTCACCTGTTTGTATGATGGAAAATTCGCATTACAGATGCCACTGTGGATCTTTGCAGATTGGGTTGCACCCTCAACCCTGCCTCTCTCAATGAGAGACCATGGTTCACGACATGGTCTATAAGTGTAGCCCTTATTTCATCTGAAATAACAGCTCTTTGTCTTCTTTGTCTCCCTCCACAAACCCGCCCTCTCCCTGCCACCCTTCTCCCTCCACGAACCCGTCTTCCTTGTTCCATTTCCAAAATTAGTCTTTCTGAGCTTTACCTGTGTATATATATATATTTTGTGTGTGTTCACTAACAAGTCTAAAACAAGACACCTGCTTAGCCTTTCAGCTGAAATTGCAATCAGCAGTGTTTGAAAGGCACAAGGCTGAAATCTATTCCGTTTTGAATGTGTGGTTCACAGTTTTGACAGCAGTGTGTTAGCATTTGAACAAAGTGCTGTAAATCCACAGTGTTGTGCAGGTTGTGGTTAAAGTCATGGGATAAGTGTGTAGAGTTTTGAAAACTGTGTTCAAGCAATGAAAAATGAACTAGAGTTTGGTCCACATGAGCTGCTGCTGTGCAGACTGTAGTTAGAGTTTTGCACATGTAGTTCCAGTTGTGCTCACTGTCGTTTAGCAATCGAAAAAAACTGTAAGAAATTAGTGTGAGGAGTGTGTCTGTGTGACCTGGTGAATAAGTGTAGCATCTTGATTGGTTGTGTTTGGAAAAGGAAAGCAAGTCACTTCCTGATAGATCTTTGTGTTTTAGGTAGAGAATTGTGTGTAGTGTGTTTTGAAAAAAGTGTTTTATGCAATTGAAAACTGAGTCAAAGGCTGAGAAATAGCTTATGGTTTTGAAGATTTGGCATGAAGTTTTGCACTTTGAGTCAGAGGTTTCAAAAATCGTGGGACATGAAAATATTTTGTGTGTAAGCAGTTGGTAAAAACTGTAATTTAGAACGATTAGATTCGAATCGATTCAGTAACTTTACTGGACAGTGCAGGCAAAGTTTCTGAGATCCCTGTTGTTTCTTGTAAGGAAATCAAGTTTAAATTAATTATGGATATTATAAACAAGCAAACAACAATCAATGGCAAATGTTTTAACCTTTTATTTTAATCAAGTGCCATTTTCAATATAAACATTACACAATAATTACACAATGTTTGGATCAATTCACAGAACCCCGGATTTTCAACCACATTGTAGGGTTGCATGTCTTTACAGATAAACTTGGCAATTGTTACTGTGATGTTGAGTTTCGTGCTGGCGAGGCCTGAGGTGTCTGCAGAGCTGGAGTTACCTTCTGTTGCTGCTGCAGCGGTGACGCTGCTAGAGGTGCCTAACTGTCGGCGTGTTGTTTAACCTCCGTGTTTGCAAAAGCCAAAATGTTTCCACACGCTGGATCGATAAGTTGGTTTGTAAATGTCTTGCTCGCAGTTGTCTCCGCCACGCTGTGTTTTGATGTTGTTCCGAGTTTCACGCGGCTGCCGCTGCGTACTGGATGACGTCACAGACAGGCAGACTGAATCAAGTAACGTTTAACGTGTCTAAAGTGCTAAAACACAAACAAACAAACACACATCCATACCGTTTTTGTGCTTAAATCCAATGTGCAGTTTCCAAGTGTCGATACAAATCGATTATGTACCATTTCAATCGATTTATAATCGATATATGTCGCCCGGAATGCCGATTTGCGGAGCACAGATCGATTCAGTTGGATCGCAGGAATATAAATCAATTAATCGATTCAGGGGATGAATCGTTACACCCCTAATATATATATATATATATATAGATAGAGCTCAGAAAGAATTATTTTGGAAATGGAACAAGGAAGACGGGTTGGTGGAGGAAGACAAAGAAGACAAAGAGCTGTTATTTCAGATGAAATAAGGGATTCACTTATAGACCATGTGGTGAACTATGTCTCTCATTGAGAGAGTTGAGGGTGCAACCCGATTTGCAAAGACCCACAGTGGCATCTGTAATGCACATTGTCCATCATACAAACAGGTGAGAGGAGTTTTTCTCTGCCTGGAGGTGGAAAGTGTTTGGTCACCACCCACATGACCAAATGTCTCTTTTGGAAGCCGGATGTGAGGACACAAGTCCAGAGGACTGCCAGGGATGGATGAGGACCTTCAGAAGGTTCTTCCCCAGGTTCATGGCAGAGAGAACATTAGATGTGATGGTGATGAAAACCTGTGGCCTGATGCTAGAGAGGCAGGATTGGCCCCTCAGTTATTTGTTCCAATTACAGTATGTACTTTTAGTTTCTACCTTTTTTTTCTCATTACTGTAATTCCGTAAAGTACTACAGACTATTGAAGCAAACTTCAAATTTTTATTTACCTTAAAGAATTGTTATGTTCTAAAAATTTCAATAAATCATGTGAAAGAATGTCACTCTTTTTATTGAAGAAAATATTACTTTGTATGAAGTCACTGAAATGGATCAAACTGTAAAGATGAACAGTTAGTATTTTGTGTATTGGTGTTTGATGCTAGTGTTTTTACTCTCAGTGTGTTCTGAGTGACAGTGTGTGTTCTCTCACTGAGGCTTGTGCACAGTGTTGGCTGCACTGAGCCTGTTTTGAACCGTGTGTTAAGAGTTGTGTTGCTTGGAGTGAGTTTTGCAGGTGATGTGAACTGTTTAGCTCAGGTGACTGTTGGTAGTGCAGACTGTAGTTAGAGTTTTGCACATGTGACTCCAGTTGTGCCCACTGCCGTTTAGCAATCGAAAAAAACTGTAAACGTGTTGTCACGGCTCCTCCTCGGCCTTGCAGGGGCGGTTCCTCCTGCAGGCAGAGGAGGGTCTTTAGCGATTGGAGCCACCTGGGCTCTAGGTATAAGAAGGCCTCTAACCACTTCTCTCTTGCTCTATGCTCCTCCAGGTATGATCCTGTTTTGTTTGTTCCTTTGAAGGTTTTACGTTGTTCACACTCAGTCATGTTTACACATACAGATTCACTCAACCATGCACCTTACATACACCTTACACTATGACATTCGCACACCTCATTCCTTTTCTTTGTTTAAAGTTACTAGTTTTTGATTTATAATAAACTCTTCTTTTGATTGGCCTATACTTGGTGTTTGTGTCCCCTCATTCTTGCCACAGGCTATGAGCCGGCCTGTGACAGTGTTTCATCACAATACAACAAAAAATCAATCAAATAAAATTGTTTCTCTGTAAGATTGTTAAGAAAAGTTTCTGTAAACTTGGTTTTCGCACTTTATTGGAAATAGCCGTTGTGCCAGTCGTTTAACCGTTTTTCTTTTTTTTTTTTTTACAGTGTGCCAATTAGGGAACTCAAAATAAAAGCGTGGGTAATTTGATCCTAACTGTAAAATAAGAATTTAATTCCTTTTTTTAATCTCAATCTTTGCTTTCCTGTACCTTTAGCCGTCTTTCCAATGAATGTATCTTTGCCATCACGCACAGGTAGGAGTGACGTTTTTACGCAGACACACAAATACTTTCCGACGATTATTGCAGTTGAGACTAGTGGTTTTATTGCAGTACATAGTACAGATGAATATACTGGTTGATTGTGATCTGTGGACTCCAATTCCTGGTCTACACGGCCATCATGGAGTCCATCCTCTGCTCCTCCATCACCGTCTGGTACGCTGCAGCCACAGCCAAGGACAAGGGCAGGCTGCAGCGTGTCCTCCGCTCTGCAGAGAGGGTGATCGGCTGCAATCTGCCGTCCCTGCAGGACTTGTTCGCTTCCAGGTCTCTGAAGCAGCTAAAAAGATGGCAGCCGACCCCTCTCACCCCGGACAAAACCTGTTTGTGCCCCTTCCATCTGGCAGGAGGCTGAGGTCCATCAGGACTAAGACCTCCCGCCACACCAACAGTTTCTTCCCGTCGGCAGTCGGGCTCATCAACAGAGCCGGTCCCCCACTGACTGACTATAACACTCCACCGGTCACTCCCCTTCACACTGCACACGCCACTTTAACTGCAATTCATCACTTTGTCGTCACTTTGTTACTTGTTTGTTAGTGCACTTTATGCTTAATATTTTTCTTTTTAACTTTGTAATATTTAAAATTTTTAACTTTATTCCCCTGTTTTATACTAACCCACAGCCTTAGCCTTATTCTACTAACCCATTGCATTAGCATTTCATTCTACTTTATTTTATTACCGGTGCACTGTTGTCTTGTCTGTCTACTGTCGCGCACTAACCGTCAAGACAAATTCCTTGTATGTTTGGCATATTTATTATTTGGCACAAATAAATGTTTCCTGATTCCTGGTGATCTGTGGTCTGGGAGAACTGTGTGTGCTCCCCCTACGTGTGTCCGCCACTTCTTGTCACCTGTGCCCCTCATATACAACCTTGTGCATCTAATCACTGCCACCTAGTGTCCAAAATATTAATATATCTAAACAAAATAAAATAGCATGCCAACAATAAACATAAATGGCTCCTACATGTGGCATGAGTTTATTAACTTCAACCTCCCCCTTTAAAAATGTCAATTCAGCCTGCAGCTTTTCTAGCAATGCATTTGAGCCCTAAGTGTCATTCAGCTATCAAACATGGTGCTTTTAATTTTTTGTATTTTCAGCAGTTCTTTGCATTCATTTCAGCTTTCATTATCCACCCATTATATCTGCAGGAAAGGAATTTAATACTTGGGTGTAATATATCAAGTAGTAGTATGGAATGTAATGTAGTATTACGGTTGTGCAGTGCCCAAGTGAATGGGGAATGCAACAAAGGTCTAGGATGTAAATTGATTTCGGTTTTCAGAAGTTGGAGAAACACGGAACTGCCTTATGTGGTGGAAATTTGTGGATTTAGCCCTTGTGAGAAATCAAAAGTATCTTGAGCTTGCTTTGTGATTAAGTATTTATTGCTAACTTGAATATAGAAAAATGATGAAGAATACAGAAATCATCACCACAAGTCGTAAGTACAGACAGAAGTGACCCTCCCTTAATGGACCCAGTCCATTAAACATTTAAAAGGTCAGGCACGTGTGGTTCCATTTGTGTCTTATCTCACCCTGGACTGCCTTTGGTCACAGGCTCACATGAAAGGTCACATTCCTCCCGAGCCTCACCAATTTCCCCCGACATCTTACTACAAACGTCTTTCAGGACAAGGCTCGGCCTTGGGAATCGGTCTACAGCGTTCCACCACAGCCGAAGCTTCTCCAGCATCCACGCCGGTGTAGGTCCCAGTGATGAACGTCGTTGTGACCCTCCCGTTTGTGAATTGGCGAGTGAGGCAAGCAGTGAAAGGGATATTGGCCTTGTACCTACGCACCACCGTTTGGACCCTGCAGTAATGGTTGGGCGGGACTGTGACAGTCAGAGGCATAGACTGGGTGGTCGTGTCTGTCCTTGTGTTTCCTCTTGAGAATGTGAATGTCATTTCACTGCTGATCGAAATAGTTGTAGATCTGATAATGGGGATTTCTCCCGTGAAGCTCGTGCTGAATCCGAATTTGGTGGAGGAGCTGAAGTCGAACCTTGTCTGTGTCTGACGTGTCACTGAGGCAGTCGGGGATTTCACTACTGAACTGCACTCATTGTTTTTGACAGTAGAAGTGAACAGGGACTCTGGAGGACACTTAATGACATTCACACCAATGTCGTAGCTGATTTCAGAGATGTGCTCGCTGATTACATCTTTTCTATAGGTCAGGACCTGGTAGGTCTTGTAGAAATACTCAGAACCCTCCCAAGGAAGGAAGAACGCCTTATTCCTAACATGTACCTTCCCAAGACCAAACTTATTCTTGGCAACATATATGTCCACACCGGAACAAGTTTTGACTGAATGTTTAGGCACTGAACCCCAAGAGCCGTCCTTCCACTCTAGCACCTCAAAGTTATCTTTGTTCACCAAGATGTCAAAGTTAGAGACTTTATGCTCTTTGTGATAGTAAGGGTATTGGCAGTAACTTCCCTTGCGTGAGTGTAGA